AAATTTGGTTTTCACATAGCACACAGTAAATGACAAAAATAAAAGATTCAGGTACACAGTACAGATATTCTAGGGTAGGGAACAGAAACAAAATGGACTGTTACCGGACCATTACTCCAATCTACACAGAACTACCAGCTTAGAGCTAAAAATGAACTTAAAAAACAAAAAACTAGGAGATGTAGACATACTGGCTCCTAAGAAAAAAGCACAAAAATAATTTGAAAATAATAAAAAATTTATGCCTATAAACAAATGACAAGTATTAATTTTTGGAAACCTCTCTGTACAAATATTTCTTAATTAAACCATGCGATAGTCAACTCTGACAACCGAAACCAGAGAAAGAACAAGCAATGTTTATTGTGGTTGGGGCTGGGGAGATAGCTTGGAGGTCTAAACGCCTGCCTGGCAAGCACAAGGACCCAGGTTCGATCCCCAGTACCACATGCTGCACCAGGCATGAAACAGGGCGTGGTGGCACACTCTTAATCTATAATCCTAGTGTTGGAGAGGCTGAGATAGGAGGATCAATGCAAGTCTGAGAGCTGTTGTAGCGAGACCCAATACCAAATAAAAAATTCTTAAAAAAACATTTAAAGTAACAGCCAAAGGCTGTCAATAAATTCTAACACTTCAAATTCTTGGTTGTGCATTTTACTTTCAAATACTGGATCCATAACTCCTAAGTATGTGCCACGGAGCAACATAACAGGAATTGAGTTCTACAGTGAAAGCAAACCACTCAAGACACACGTTCTCAACTTCTAGGGCAAGCTCCATGCTGCTAGTTTATCCAAGCTCTGTGAACTCCAGGTTAGTAGAGCAAATGTACCGGTTAACATCAGCCCTGACAGTGTGGCAGAATTTAGAGATCTCCAGAACAGATAACTTGCCATTTTCTCATACCCGTCACTCAACAAGTAGGCCTCGGGTGCAGCACTGACAACACCTGGGAGCCTGTGGGACCCCCGGGCCCTGAGCTCTACCAGCCCACAACGAAGAGCTGAGGCTTAGCAAGACACATACGCAGCTGGATGTGCACTGCAGTTTGAAGAGTGATGCCGCAGACCCTTGAGACCCGCCCACTTATTCTAAGAATGAAAAATAACTAATGAAGAGTAAACATTTTGTGCACACACAAAAATACTGTTTA